TCTCCTACCTTTTACTTAATGTGTAGGCAATGTTAATTAGACTATGAGAAAAATAGACACACAAGTGTCTCTTCCCAGAGCATTTTGCCTTGAGGCGAAAATTCTTTTATTGACTCAAAAAATGCTTCTCAGTCCCAAATACGAATGTTCATATGCACGTGAATCAACAAAGTATCCAAGAAACAGTCAAGATGTCTTGCTTAAAGCATGCTGCGGTATCATAACAATTAAATGGTATTCTCATATGACAAAACTAGTTATTGCTGTCTAATTAACAACATTAAAATGGCTATAAAAAATCAGAAGCAAAGCATGAAATGGAAATTTAAGTCATCTAACCGGCTTAATGAAATGCTCTCCTGTCCATCCCCAAATGTTGGCACCTTCTTTAAATCATGAAACAAAGAGACCAACAGTAACTACTGTGGATTCCGGCTTTGGAGCACAATGGCTGGAATGAGAGGCAGACGAAATAAATGGCCGGTCATTTCCCGTGTGGGATCTTGGGTAAAACCCTTCATTGCTCTGGGCCTGTTGCCTCATCTGTAAAATGAAAGGATTGGACAGGACATCTGAGGTCACCTTAAGCTCCAAACACTATGAAAGTCAGCAAAACGGCCCGAATGCAGGCCACGTCCAACCTTTTGCCACTTGCAAAGGACTTTCCCTTTGCATTGTTGTAGCCGAGAGACAGCTGGACTTGGAGTCAGGAAGACCTTGACTGGAAACTTCAGATACGAAGTTGGGTCACAATTTGTGGTGTGGGGGAGAGTACCTGAGTGAACAAGGTCACAGCTTCATCTCAGTACAGAGGCGAGAGGTGGTGAAGCCATGAACGGGAGTGCGGGGTGTGAGGGTGGAGAGGTGGGGACAAATACAAGAGATGTACTGGAGAAAGAACTGACGAGACTTGGTAAGTGAGCGGAGGAAGCCATGAGAAATAAGGAAATGTGGGAGAAGGGAACAAGTTTGTGGGAGGGAGAGAAGGTAATGAGCTCTGGTTTGGACATGTTGAATTTGAAATGACTATGACTTACTGTGGATTATGAAATGACTATGGAATATGCTGGAGATGTCCAACAGGCAGGTGAAGATGTGGGAGTGGTGTTCTGAGGAGAGCTGTTCAGATGTGTTGCTGTCATTTCAGTCATGTCTGACTCTCTGTGACCCCAGTGGGGGTTTTCTTGGCAGAGATACTGGAGTGGTTTGCCATTTTCTTCTCCAGCTTATTTTACAGATGAGAAAACTGAGGCAAACAGGCTTAAGTGACTTGCTCAGGGTCACACAGCAAGTAAGTGTCTGAGGCCAGATTTGAATTCATGAAGAGGAGTCTTCCTGACTCCAAACCTGGCATTCTATCCACTGTGCCAGAGAGATTTAGGCTGGGTATATAGGTCTAGGAGTCTATTTGAACTCACAAGAGTAAATGAGAACACCAAAGAGAGAGAACTGACAAAGGCTCAGGACAGAGCCCTGGAGGATGCTGGCTCTAAAGGGAAACAGATGGCAATCTTACAAAGAGGACTGAGGAGGAGGAGTCAGGTAGGTAAGCAGAGAACCAGGAGCGAGTAGTATCAGAGGGTCAACAAGAAAAGAAAAGTGTCCAGAAAGTATGCGTGGTCA